TAAATTCCTTGTGTATTGCTCGCTATCTCTCTCATTGTGATCAACTTTATTTATCCTCTCATCATTCATATTTCAAGTTTCTGTGATCAAGAGCTTTAAGCGATAAATTGGAGGACACCTAATTCACTCCCTCTTGGCTGACCAGCATATCTAATAGGTTTTCGACGTGCATGCAGGTAGGTTCGTGAGAGCATGCCTAAGAGGACGTCAGAGTAGTCATCAGATTTCATGATGGTGGGAAGCACGATTTCTGTTTTTGACATAAAAATAGGGGAGAACAAAACCTAAGTCAAGTGTCATCATTTTAGTATGAAGCCGCTTCAACTGTCGGCAAAGGGATAGTAGAATACTAAGGTCTCAGCCAAAGCTTTTTTGGTCACTTGAACTGTATCTCATCCTCTCATCAAAGAATTGTGTTGATAGAACTGGATTATTGGAATTTAGAACTGAAGGCTCCTTTAGTTGTTGACGTCAAGCAAATGCTTCACCACGGTGCCATTGCCTTTGCCACACCTACCATTTTTAGTTGATGCCAATGAACTATGATATGGGTTGATTAGATATGGAGAGAGAGTAGGGAGGAGAGGGAGGGAGAGAGAGAGAGACAATGGGAAGGAGATGGAGAAGAGGGTGGGGTGGAAATAGAAAAGGAGAGAGATGGGAGGAGAGAGTTATTTTATATTATAAAAATATTTTAAAAATGGTGGGACCCACTATTAAATATTTTACAATGAAAATATTAAAAAAAATTCAATATGCACCTCACATAATGGGATAATAATGTCAAGGTACGGCAAACTGAATTTTTAAAGTTAAGAGATAAAATTGATCAAAAATTATATTTATAATCATTTGTAAACTTTTGCATAGTTTCAGGATAAAATTGACTTTTAACCTTAATATTATATAAAGGAGATAAACTAGTGACTTGAATTAGTTTTTTACCTGCCTTCCTTTGCTTCTCATGTGACTGTTCTTTAAAACAGAGCAATTCTATTGATGTCTTCACCATAAGATAACACTATGACCTTTCAATCACAACAATTTTTTTAAAAAGAAGTGGTTTAATTTATTTTTGCTATAAGTGTTATCTGTCATGTGACATTTTCAATAGACTCTTGGCCATTGTTGTGCTTATTGAAAGCCAATAACGTTCTGCTGATGAAATTTTAGAGTAACTAACTAAGAAAAAATATGTGCAAAATCCAGGGAAAGAGAAAACATTCTGCCAAACTTTAGATTTGTGATTTAAAAGTATCACAAGAGTTGTCTTCAGCTTATCCAAGAGAAAGACATTGAGCTTTCTGTTGTTCATGAAATCTCGAAACTCGCTTGAGGCCATCTGATCATCTGGCAAGGTCTGCACAGAAGCAGAGAGCACCGCTTCTCCCACCTTAGCGGCGAACTCCATGGCTTGTTTGTTTCAGAACTCAAAAAGTATTGCTTAGATGAATGAGACAGAAGAGAGTTTGATGGGAAGAGATAGAGTGAAGCCACTGAGAGAATACTTTGCGCGTCAGAAGATAAGGTTAAGGTAGGCCATCCGCAGCAACATCTCTGTTCGTTCTTGGAAAAGTCTACCAAATTAAACAATCATTCATTTTACTATCTATATGTTATTTTTTTTATATTAAATAGAAACTGTCAGAAAAGTTTACCATAATTTTAATTTTCTGGTTGAATTCTCTTTTATATCTGTCTTTAGTTGTGAATTTTGATTTTCTTGCTTTAATCCTATTTTCTGTTATATCTTAATCCTCTAGTTCTCACATTGACAAGAAATGAATAATACTGATAATGATGTAGAGAATTATTATTATGGAGGATTAAGGTTTCAAAATTCTGAAATAATTTCCTAAACTGTTTAGTTGATTAAACATGGATGGTCCTAAGAAGAAGGACTTGTATTTTTAAAATATTGGTAGGCCATTCACAATAACTTCTTCGGTCTTTCATGAAAGAGATTAACCCACAACCGTCCATTTTTCCAAGAGTATCTTCTAGTGGCATTGTTGAATGGAACATATCAGCGAGGGAGGATTTTAAATTTAAAGATGCTTCGTGGCTTTGCTAGATTTCATATGTGAATTGATAATTAAAAAATCACCTTTATTTTAAATTTAATATGTATTAAAATTATAAGTTACTTAAAATATTTTAAAAAATTAAATGAAATTTGATTTGTGAAGAAACCAATCTAGACAATTCAAATGGATGATGAACACTTTGGGCAAGAGTGAATGCTATTACAAAAATTGTCAAATATGACACATAGTACTTGTGGTTTATAACATGAATTTGACAGCTTCTCACTGATTTAATCTTGGCCAAATAAGAGGCCATTGCCAGAAAAAATTAGAACTCAGAGAGAATGGGAAGAGTGAGAGAGGAACAGAGAAAAAGGAAGAAGGGGCGAAGATATTTAAGTCATTGAAAAAAATATTTTAAAGAATAATATATCAAAAGTAAAAACCCATCATTAAGTGTGTTGTATGTGTATGTTTGTGTCTATATATAAATCATCAGCTTAAGATTTTAGGAATATGAAGAGAGGATTAGTTAGTTTCTTACCCGCTCTTGATTCAATCTGTGCTGGAAGTGGAGCAATTCTTCTGCTAACCTAATAATATAAAACAAAGAATTAATGAGATACACATTTTATAAAAAAAAAATTTCATTAAACATTAAAAAAAAAGAACTGTTGCTTAGCCTCAACAGCTGGGTTAGCTTCTTACTTGACTTCCTTGGATATCATATCTGTCTCTTGTGTTTGAAGTATAGAAATTCTACTGCTTCCCCTGTTCCTCATCTTCTTGATTAATCAAAACATGCAAATCTTATAAATTCAGAAATTAATTAATGTTACTTAACAAATATATATGTGTGTATCATAACTCACATCTCATTAGAAATATATGTGATTAAAATCACACTTCATTCGTTCATAAATATCTAATCAGGCATGGATATTAAATACTATATCGAGCCAAATAATTAAATATGGTTCCAAATCTTGTTATTATTATTATTAACGGAGGGGGTACGAATTCTAGGAGCAAAAAATAGTTTAAATAACATATTATTAAAGTATTAATATTAATAATTTATTACTCCCTCTATCTCAAATTATAAGATACTTTTAAATAAAATTTCATATACCAATAAATCTTATTAAATACACTTAACAACCTTATATTTTCAAAAAAAAATATAAACTTTTCAAAATGCCCATCATTTAATATATTAAAAAGAGAAGAGATGGAAATTAATTATAGAGAGAGAAAGGGTAATATTGAAATTGATGTATTTAATGAAATCTTAATCTACCCAAAGTATCTTATATTTTAAAACAAAGAAACTTCTGAAGAAGTGCCCTATAATTTGGGACAGAGGGAGTACTTAATAATTTAAATATTTTATTATTTAAAAATTTTCACATACAATTTACATGGCAACTCTTTTGATGTACAACTTTATGAAGGAGGATTTGTTAATTTTAAAGATAGACTTATACTTTATCATACTATTAATTTACAAATCACCTATAAATGTTAGAAAAGCTAGTTGAGTTGTTAATATTTAAAAGATGATTTATAAATTTTGTATGAATATTTATAAATAATAATATTTAAACTATTAAATAATTAAATATTTAAACAAATTTTTAGTAAATTAAATATAATATTTTTAATTACTTATCTATCTTTCTAGCATTGATGATTCAATAGTCACATAGAAATCGGTCAAAGCGATTGACTAAATAATATTTTAATATTTTATATGGGTAATAAATAAGATTAGTCAATTCAAATTTATTCATAATTTAAGAACTTAATTTGTATTAATTTTCTTATAAATTCTTTTTATACAACTTTTTGAGTCTTTTTTTGTAATTCTCTAGATCCTTTGTTTGTCATTTTTTGGGCCAACTAATAGTCAAATCAAAAGATGTTTAACATAGAGATAATATTGCTCATTAAAAAAAAATTATTTAGTGGAGAAATTGCCGCAACTTTCACTATAAAAAGTCCAACACTTTTAAAAAAAAATTAGGAATAAATTAGGTCTTTAACCCAAATAATATTGAATTACCTAGTTTCACCCTCTCTGTTTTTTGAATCTTTTCTGTCAGTGCCATAAATACCTCTTATGAGAACTGCCTGATATGTAACATTTTCAGGGACTTATGACCATTTCTCTGCTCATTGAAAGCTAATGACATATATTATTTCCAAGTTATATAAGTTCCCTCATGATTCAGAATTAACAGCAATATGATATAAAAAATAAAATTGAAAAGTGGTTTGTTCCCATTATAAGCATCGCTTGATACGTGGCATTTTTAGCGAACTTTTGGCTTTAGCTTTGCTCATTGAAAGCCAGTAACATGCTGCTTTTGTAACTGTAAAAAGCAATATAGATGCCAAAAAAAAACAGTGACAGCAAGACTTGGTCCACTGTTCATGATTGGGTATGTAAGTTTTGTGAAACAAGAAATGAAGAACAACAAAAGCAACTTATCTCGTTACAAAAAAAATCCAAACTCTTCATATTTATGAGAGACTGGACAAATGTAGGGAACAAGCTAAGAAAGCTGGAGAACCATCATGATAAAATGGTTCAAATCACACCAATCCTGTTATGGACAGATATTTCTCATGTTATTCTGTCAAATGATCAAAGAATGCTGCCAAGTCTTATATACCTTTATGATTGACAAATATCATTCATCAAACGAACACAGATGACATATATAACAAGCTGCAATAAATTGTGCAGATCAAATTTGACAGAACCAATATATGATAAAACTTAAAAATTGAAACATCAAGCCATAATTGAAATTTTAAACAATAATTTAAAGCAACCATAGAAGCAATCCCATTTATTGATAAGAAATCGCATCAATGGAAATAAGCATAACTGGCTGTTGAAAGGAATATATATATATATATATATATATATTACAGAAGCACTGAGGTTAAGCAAATTCTAGAAGTTCACCTATATCTGCTGCAGGCAAGATCTAGTCATAAGATGTAAACAAATGCTATGACCACAAGGAATACCAACATTGTGATGTGCAAGCCTGCAAGGTCAAAAATGAAAAAGAAACAATAAATAATATTTGTTGATGAATATTAAAATATTTAGTTGTCTCTAAATTTCAAGGCTCACCTTTTGATTCTATGCATGTAACATCTCCCTCAAGAATCATAGTGTTGGTCATTAATCTTTATAGTAGGAGTATGAGCAATCTTGGACAAGTGCTTTCCTCTGTGATAATGATATCTCTCTCTTAATTCAGGACAGCGAGAGATATGCAATAACAAATGAGAGGATGGCAGATCATCTTCTGGCAAAGATTCAAGGTTTGGACAATCATGGATGTAGAGTGCTTCTAGAGAAGCAAGGTGTTGAATCCCTTTTCCATCCAAGAATTTAAGATTAGGGACATTCCGTATGTAGACACGCACAAGAGAAGTTGGCAGTAACTGTTTCTTCAGTAAATTGTGGAGAATACCTTCACCTTCATCACCTCTAAACCAAAATTCTAAGAGAGAAGCCATCCGTTGGAAACCCCAATCCTCTATGGACATAGATGATAGTCCCTTGCAATCATCAACCAAAATTGATCGCAAGTTAGAAGGTAAACCATGTTGAGGCAGCAAGTTAAAATTCGGAAGCCGAGAAAGATTAAACTTTTGAAGAGCACCAAGAGAATCAATTTTTACTTCTGTCATTGATCTAAGACTTTTGCAATCAAAGGCACCAAAAGATTCTAAGGTAAGAGCAGATCCCCCAAATTGTGTAAACATCTCCAGATTAAGACAACCATCAAAATAAAGATGTTTCAGCCTTGGAAAACAACTTAAGGAAAAGGATGTCAAGGAATGACAACTATTTTTAATTTCCAAATGTTCAAGTCACGTGTAGTTTTGCCAAGATTCCTGGGGTAGGAATTCTAATTTCTCACAGTCCCAAATTTAAAGCCGTCGCAGTGAAGTGGGCAAGCCATTTATTGGGAAGGACTTCACAAATTGAATATTTATGAGATAAAAAGTCTTGAAGATAATGGCTACTCGGTTTCAATCTTGGCAAAGACTGCAAGCTGTAACACACCTCAATTCGGAGACATTTTAGTGAGACCGGAGAATCATTATCAAGAGTCCTCAACAAGCCTTGTTCCCCTAGTTCAATATTTAATTCCTCAATAGATGTAATCCATTGCAAAGCTGATGATTTTACCTTCAATTGATTGCACTTTAATATGTCAACCTTTGTCAATGAAGGAAGATTGTCGGGAATGTCTCCCTTCAACATAGGACAATCCTATAAATACAAATGTTTAAGACAAGGAAATGGAAATTTGGTACCTTCACCTTCAAATGGTATCCATTCCTCCCAAACTGGCATCTTCTCAAATCTTAGACTTTTCAAAATCCGAAATGGCTGAAATGAAGAGGACTCTATTTTACTGCAATAAAACTCATGACTAGCTGTGTGTAGTAATGTTATTCCTTTAATCAAGAGCTCTTTGAGAGAAGGTAGTTGTCCAAATGGTGGAAGTGATAAGCAATAGTTGCAATCACTTATAGATAAAAAGGTAATATTTGTAAATGAAGAATTTCCCACCCAATTTGGAAAGCTAGTACCACCATAATGGTTAACGGTCAATCTTTGTAAATTTCTTGAAGGTTGCAGCGTGTCAAGTACATCTTTTACAACTTGTGAATCCTGAGTATCACAGTCCCATTCCAACACTAACTCCTCAATTTTTTCTCTCCTCTTCAAGTTCACCACATAAGCATCCATGCAATCAACGACCTTCTGTAGCTAATGGAAAGCCTACCTTGTAGATGAGGGAGTTTTCTTAACTCCTTAATCCCCAAACCATCCTTCTGTTTTCCCACCACAAAAGTACTCAAATTATAAAGATTTTGAAGTTTGCTAATTTGTGTTGGCATCTCCTTCAAAGCAATGCCACTAATGTCCAGATGGCGTAGATTAATAAGCTTCTCTATCTTTCCAGGCAAGTCATTGAAAGACAAACAATACGATAAAAGCAAGGTTTGCAAGTTGTAGGGTGTAAAGCTTGAATTAGGCAACCGAGTGATTGAGGTGTAGGAAAGGTCCAAATATCGCAAATGCCGCAAGTTGCCAATTGAATTAGGCAGCTCAGTGATACTGTAATACCCTGACAATGACAGTGCTCTTAAACATTTTAGTTTTGAAAACAAATCAGGTGGCACCTTTTGGGCAAAAAAACAAAAGATCCCATATTTAGTTGGTAATGTGACAAAAGAGTCCTCAAACACTTTAAATGATAAAAGCTCTCAAACTTTTTAAAGTCATCAGATCGTTGTTTGGGATACGATAAATGGCGAACAGATTTTGGGATTTCATTGCCTTCAAACCAAAGACAACTCCTACCAGATACAAATTTGGCTAAATCATTGATGAGATCATGCGTGACAAACTTTCTTGGATCACCTTCATATTGCTGAAAGAAAGACCTAGACAACAATTCATTAAAGCAGTCACTTGCCTGTGTCTCCAATGCTTTCTCCCCATGGGAGTATTGCTGTACAAATCCTTCAGCCATCCATAACAAGGTCAATTGCTTTTTATCTAACAAAAGGTCTTTCGGAAATATTGAACAATAGGCAAAACATTTCTTCAAATGTGAAGGAAGATAAAGATAACTCAAACACGAAGCAGGTAGAACATCATCATTTGGTAAGTCCCACAGGTTGCTATTTAGAATTTTATTCCACTCCCCTGCATCCTCTTTTCAACGCAAAAGACCTCCAATTGTTTTGGCAGCTATTGGTAGACCACCACGTTTTCTTGCAATTTTCTTACCAATTGCTTCTAACACTGTATATTTGTTGGGATCTTCATTTCTAAGAGCATGCTTGGCAAGTAAATGCCAACAATTTTCATTTGAGAGAGGAGTCAAGTTATATACAGGAAACGTACGTGTGATTTCAGCAACTCTTTGTTGGCGAGTTGTTACAATGATCTTGCTGCCCCTTCTTCCACAGCGAAAAGGAGTTACCAGATCATCCCAATCACTATATTTATCATTCCATATGTCATCCAACACAAGAAGAAATTTTTTATTGGTCAAGCAATTTTTCAGTTCAACCCGAAGTAAGTCTAAATTTTTATTGTGATAGACTTTTGAAGTGACAGATTCAACCAGATTCTTGGTAACATCAAAAACATTAAAATTGTTTGAAACACAAGCCCCAGCCTTCAAATCGAAATGTTGTCCCACTTCCTTGTCATTGTAAAGGAGTTGTGCAAGGGTTGTTTTCCCCACACCACCCATTCCCCAAATAGTGATCACTCCTATATCATTGTCCTTTGCATCTTCATTAAACAACAGCATGTTCAAAAGTTTTTCCTTATCATCCTCTCTGCCAACCACAGCAGATTCATTTACCAATGATGTTGTAGCTCTTTTAATTCCCCTTGAGCTAACACTTTGCAAACCAAGGATATCCTTCTGCTTGGCAAAGTGTTCAAGCCTACTTGATATTGCTTCGAGCTTGGAGTTCATCCCCTAGTAAAATTTTCCAAAAGAAGAAGAAAAGAAGGAGTGCACCTTATTCTCGACGTTTTGAGAATCTTGTTCCAACTTACTTCTCAGGAAGTCAGTGTTGATTTCATCAAATAAATCCTCTGCATCGAAAACAGCATCTTTCAACTCTTCAAGCCATTCTTTGACTGAACCATTGGTGACTTGCTTCTCCTCTGCATCGTTAAGAACTACTTCAAGCATCAATAGAGTTACCTTCAGCCCACCTGAGAGAGAGACTTTCAACTTTCTATTTCTCAAGAAATCTCGAAACTCGTTTGAGGTGATTCTATCTATCAAATTTTTCACAGAAGCAGAGAGAAATGCTGGCCTCACCAGAGCTGCAGCCATGCCTTCTCTTGGTTAACAACTCAATTGCATTGTGAGAATATTAAGAGTTTGAATTGTAGGAAATAAGTTTAAGCAGGTTGATACTGATGCAAGAAACCCTTCAACGGCAACTTCAAGACCAAAATAATATTTTCTCTAAGAAGCATCTATAATTCAAAACAAGAACTGGAAGCAGTTATATTTTTCTAAACTCGAAAATATATTACAGAAGATATTGTCTCTTACTAATTCAAAACTCTTACCTTGTCTATGAATTAATTTATAATCTAATGGCTCTGTCATACAGTAACGTAACATATTTAATAAATGAATGATTATGGATACCGTGTCACTCGATATAATGAGTCCAGATAAGATATTGTTACTGAAAGCAAGTGCAGTGATATAAAAAGCATTTGTCAAATCATAGGGTATAAAATCTAATAAAAGACCCTGATCAAACTTGTGAATCAAAACTAGATTTCAAGGTAACAAGTGTACTACAGATACATAACTTGCAAGAAGTTAAAGATCCTGTCAACCTATAGGCAAAATAATTTTTTTTTTTTTATTTTAATAACCGCAAGATTGAGCAAAACTATAAAGATTAAAAGTTTAAACTTACACAGATCTTAAAATAAAAGTTGCACTATACGTATACTCGCAAAAAAGAAGTTTGCATTATACAAAACTCTTCTATAATTTCAAAATTTCGTTTTCCGTTTTCCTCTATTAATGAACTGTATTTTTTGTGTTTTAGTTCTTAATTTAATCCTGCTGATTATCGCCAACCCAAAAAGAAACAATAATTATTGATTTCATTACTGGGAATAAATTCTAATTCTAATTCAAAAGGAAAAAATACCTCTAAGGTAGGTCTGTGCAAAAGTCAAGTTATCGTGTTCAACTCGAACAAGTCCGGTTTGGTCCAATAAAAAAAATTTGTCCAAAGGATTAAAGAAACCCAAAAAATTAGACTAATTTTTCAGGTTGGATTAGACAAAAGACCAACCTCTCAAACTACTTAGTCCAGTCCAATCTTATGAAATTATTTTAATATCGTTTTAATTATTTTTAATATATTTGAATAATTTGAAATTTGAATAAAATGTTTCCTTCATTTATATTTCACCCTTCTATTTCATTTAATTTGCTGTTAAATTATTGTTTTAGTGTATGTTAGACATGTTGGTGAAGTTTGATGAATGTTGACGCTGCTATTGTTGAAATTATGAATTTAAATCATTTGGATTATAATTGAATTTTTTTATTGTTAAATATTATTATGGATTTTAATTTAGTTACCATCAGAAGATCTCTTGTTTGCAAATAGGTCTCTCTCATAAGTTCAATCCAAAGTAAAACCTGTTCGTTTGCAAAATACAACGCATTGAGGCATTTTTCATGTTAAAAATATGAAGTATTTTTAATTTTTTAATGTGTAATTAATAATTTTTTTAAATCTTAATAAATAAACTAATCAACTCTTCACTTTTAGGTGAAAAAATCTATTAAATGAGCATAAATATAAAAAGATAACATTAATTTAATAATAATTAACTAACTTATTGGGATGTAATTAAGTTAAAAATAACTTATAATTTTAAATAGGGGTTTATATTTCAATTTAACCATTCGTCTTATTCAAGGCAATCTCTATTTCTTTATCAAAGTTATTTATCTTTCTCTTCTACCATAAAACAATATAGATAATCAAGCTTCGAATCTCTCTGTGCCTTTTAAGAGCCACAAGGTGGAAGAAGAGGTCTAAGCCACAAAGTCTAAGTCAAATTTATTCACATTTGGACATTTTAAAAAATATATAGCGTTTAAGCACAGGTTCAAGGTCATGAATTTTTTTATTATATATTAATTATTGAATCTAATTTTTTTTCAACGTGAAACTTACCCGGTTAAATCAATTTAATTCACATTTGAATATCCTAAAAGGAATATAACGTAAAGTTTAATTTGAGAATATAATTGAATTTCAGTGAGATATATTTCAAAGTTCTTTGTCAAATCTTATTGATATTAAGGTGAAAAAAGATTAAATTAAATTAAATTAAAATTTATTAATGACGTATTGTCTTTTTTTTGGGTAAATATTAATAATGTGTTTTCTTGATCACATTATCTACCTCAATGGTCTAGGGCTCTAGTCTGTATATGGGCTCTGGAAGAAACAATTGTTTTCCTCTATAACACTATTTACTATACTCTTGTAGTCTTATCTCTATTTACTAGATTCCCAAAATTCTTGAAGTTAATTCAATCTATTTTATTCTCATTACAATTGTTAGAGGAAGACGTACGTTTTCTTTCCTTAGCCATTCAAAAGACACCTACCGTTTCTTAATTTTTATTTATGGAGTTTCGTATATATCATGTGAATATTCTTGATGTGTCATCATTAGAAGATGATCAAGTGATGATTCGAGATTGCTTTGATGCACTATTAAAAAATAAATTATTTTTCACCCACGAGAATACCTAAAAACATAAATAAAAAAACTAATTTCCCTTCTAGAGAACTTCCACAAGCAAAAAATATATATAATTTTGAAAATTTACATAACTATATAAATATATACAATAAAATTTTACACATTATTCTTATTAATATAGTTTCTAATTATAATACATTAAATATTATTATATTAAGAAATTAATTGAACATTAAATTTAACCTAAATTAAAAATAATAATGCTAAGTATATTATTAATAAAAAATAAATGAAATCACAAATATATTATTAATAAATTAAATAAGAATTTTTATTTTCTTTATTATCATACATTCTGGAGTGCTTTGACAATGAAGTGCTCCTATAAGCTGAGGTGCTTTCTGTTTTTGGCTAAATTCAATAAAGCGCTACCTTATGCTCATTATTATTTTTTATCTTTTTCATTACTTAAGCCTGAGAAAGTGCTTTGTTGATCGCTCCCTTAGATTTACAGGATCACTGCTTCATATGAGCACTCCCATATGTTTTTAGATTTCAGAGTGAAGGGTTTTGTGTATGTTTATTAGGAGCATTTTGTACTTAAGCGCTTAACTATCAATTTATGATCTTAATTTATAACCACTTTCAATCTTCTTCCACAGCCATATATCTTGTCATAGGCTAGTTGAGCATGTGCCAGATTTCGTCCAACGATAACATCGACTTCTTTTTGATGATGAGCTCCAGCTATTGACAAACAATTTAATACACTACAAAAAAATAAAAATTTAGCTTTCAGTGACAATTTTTTATATTACCACTAAAAAGTAATATGATGACAGCGCACTTTTTTGTTTATTTTCAAAGACAAAACAACAAGTTTTATCTTATTAAATGGAGTCAGTTACATGAAAATCAGATATTTTTTGTCATCTTAAAGCTTCATACAATGTTTATATTAAATTGACTAACATTGGTATTAGGAAATCAAACAATGAGATTTGTTAATAACGACCGATATACTCTTTTAACAAGATTGGTATTCCTTCGTTGCTCATCGTATAACTCTTTTCTTCAAAACAGAGCAATTCTACTAGTGTCCTCACCTATGTTGACAAGATTAATTAAAACAAAATATTACATTAATTAATTAAATTCAATAGCATTTGAAAGCTTCCAATCACAATAATTAACAAGTGGTTAGTTTTAATTAAAAGCATTACCTGCAGATATGTGACATCTTCATGAAACTTCTGGCCATTGCTCTGCTTATTGAAAGCCAATAGCATTCTGCTTTTGAAATTTTAGATTAAGTTACTAAAAAACAAAGCAGTATCCAAGAAAAGGAAACACTCACTCAAGCTTTTTAGCATTGTACTTTATAAGTAATCTGTAGTGAATATAAAAAATAAAATGTTTCTGTTCACTTGAAGTTCCATATAGTGATTAATTCTATTAAATTAAAAACAATGGAATTGAGTGAATTATTCTTTAAGAAAAAGCAGTGATCCCCAACATTACACTGCTTTTCCTTTTGTTCACTTTTTCTGACCTGATATAGGAAAACAAGATATCGTACGTACGTATTTATTCAATGACGCTAATTAACCAAAGAAAAGTAAGCAATATCAAAGAAAAGAAAAAGATACACTCAAACTTCAGCTTCACGATTTATAAATAATGTGAGAATAATATAAAATTAAGATATCTTTCGACTAAAAGGGTATAAAGTTTTTTTTTTGGTCCATATAAAAAAGAGTATGAAGTTAAGACCACTATATATATACATTTATATCGAATAATTATTGGGAATATGCAGGCCAAGTGCAAATGGACTTAGGCCATAAGTCCCTCTAGTGTGACGTTGTAATTAAACTAAGAATTAGATGAACATTGTAATTAAAAACATTAGAATTAGTGAACTATTCTAAAAAAGCAACGAGGCTCAACATTATACTGCATATTCTTTTGTTCATTTTTTCTGACCTGATTTAGGAGAACAAATTATCATACTCATTCAAAGACACTAATTAATCTTAGTAACATTTTGCTAATGAAATTTTTGAGCAAGTTACTAGAGAAAAGCAAGCAATATCCAAGAAAAAGAAAAGTATTCAATCAAACTTTAGCTATGTGGTTTATAAGTAAGGTGTGAATACTGAATGTCAATTTTTCCTTCAATTCTGCCACAGATTAAGCTTACAATTCTTCTTGATCTCCTTTCATATTTTATCTAGCCTGATATATTATCAAGCAGAGTATCAGATCCGATCCATTAATGAAATGCTTGAAATATATTTTGCAACAATAAAGTTCATTGCACATTTTTTTCAAAAAAAAAATAAAATCAGATAGATCAACTCACATCTATTACCTGATTTATCGAAATATAATAAATCTTATAATATCAGTGATGGGACTTCACTTCTCTCCACTAACCTTCCTCTCTACTACCCTAAAATAAAATCTGGACTGTTCAAATTTGGTGCAAACCAGATTTGGATAGTCCAATTTAAATTTTTTATTTTATATTTATTAAAATAAAAATAAAATTTTTAATAAATTTACTTTATC